GGGGGTGGGGGTGTCCAACCTTGCATATTTGTGATCTGGAGATCTTGGCCTGACTATGGAGCCATCCTCCACCCCAGCTGAGGACCACCTGGAACTAGACACAGTGGGACAGGGTGGGTGGGGATAGCTAGGGTTCTCACCCACATTTAACATCTGATGGTAGGTGTGGGGGATGGGTGGGATGGCCTCAATTCTCCACAAATAAATGAGCTTGGGTTGGGAATGGTCCTGGGGGTGGGTTCTGGGGAGTATCTGAAAATCTTAGGGCGGGGTGTCCTGGGCATTCATCATGGGGAGACCCTGGGAGAGGGTGAGACAGGGATGCCTAGGGCATTAGTGGGGTCATCATGGGATGGTCCTGGAGACTGGAATCTTTGGGAGGGGCTGAGAAGTGGGGTCAGAAGGTACACTGTGAGACAGGCCATACAGAAATATTTCCGGGGCAGTGGGGGCCATTTGGGGGTTTGGGAGTCTCAGAACGTGGTGCTGTTTGGGGGAACAGATGGGGAATGGATTCTGGGAGACCTCGGTGAAAGGAAGAAGGCTGGGTGAACAAATTATTCCTGGAAGGCAGAGTTTTGGGGGAGGATGGAATTAGGGGATGGTCTGTGGATACTGGGGTATCCTTCAGTGAGCCATTATAGGGGACACCCTTGATAAGCAAAACACTGATTTTTATGGTGGATATGGGTTTTCAGCACTTGTAAGGGGGACCCTGGGAGTGCTCAGAGCATCAGGGTGTCAGAACTTCAGATAGACAGGAAAACCAATGAGGAGATGGGTTTGGGGTGCTCAGAACCAGAGATGTCTTGGCAAGTGGATTTTGAGGTTATGTTTGTGGGCATTAGAAAGAGGGGACAGATTATGAGGGTGGACCTAGGAGTTGGAACACTTGTGGAAAGATTGTGGGTGGGTGGGTGGGGTTGGAGCATCCTGGTGTAAATTCCTTGGAAAGGAACAGGTTATGGGGGTGGATTTGGAGTCCTTGATGGACATATCAAGGGAGTGAACTGGAGGGCTTAGAGTCAAGGGGAATCTCAGGGGGCTATATCAAAAGCAAGAGATCATAAGGGCAAGGGATTAAGGGGTCCAAGTCTGGGGATGTCTTGGGGGTGCACTTGGTTGGAGTCCTAAGGTGAGAGTGCCTTGGGGGGTCACGGATTATAGGAGATGGCTTTGACAGGGTTAGGGGTCTGTGTCTGGGTGGGTCTAGGCATGGACTGACTGGCCCTGGGGAAAGACAGGACACAGCTGGGTGGATAGCAGAGGGTTTACTGCCCTCCCCATTCCCCGCCCACATCAGTAGCATTTGCGGTACACGATGTGTGGGCCCTGCTCCTCGTACTGCTCCCGCAGGACCCAGCACGACTGAAAGGCACGCAGTGAGGCCAGGATAGAGCCTCCGATCCACACCGAGAATTTACGGGTGGGCTGGGCCACCACCACCACGTGCGCCTCGTGGGGCAGACTGCCCAACAGCTCCGCCTGGAAGCGGCCCTCGAACCCCAGGAAGAGTGAGGAGCCTCCGCAGAGCAGCACGTTCTGGGCCACGTCCACCCGCACCTCCAGGGGCACCTTGTGAAGACTTTGTTTGGCCATGGTGGGAATGCCCACGGGCGACAGCCCTGGTATCTCCGGGGGACTAAACAGCAGTTCTGGGCACTGGAACAGCTCCTTGCCCAGCGTGACTGTCTGGCCATCTGGCAGCTTCAGGCTCTGGTGGCACTCCTGCTCCGGCAGGGCCTGCTCCTTCCGGAAGTCGGAGGCCACGTAGCAATAGCGGTGCTTGATGTTCTCCACGGTGTCCAGGTCATTCTGCCCCAGCTGCAAGCCGGCGCCTCGGAGCATCTCCACCAGGAAGGCGGTCAGGTGAGTGCCCGCCAGGTCCAGACGCTCAATGGCATGGGGCAGGTGGTAGCCCTGGAAGACGGGCACCGTGGAGGTGACCCCATGACCGATGTCCACCACCAGCCCACTGACCCGCCCATGCGCATAGACAGACAGCGCCGACTGGGACGCCACGTACATGGCGGGGGAGCCCAGTGACTCGAAGGCCACCTCCACCAGCTTCTCGCGGTTGGTGGTGGGGCTGAAGGGTGGGTCAGAGAACAGCAGCGGGTGGTCTTCGATGGTCACACGGAGGTCGTGCTCCACCACGTGGCGCCAGATGAGCTCGGCTGCATCCCAGTCCACCACGATGCCATTCCGTACCGGCTGCAGCAGCGTCAGCTCTGGGCGAGCACGGGCCGCCTCACCAATGAATGTCTCCAGCACCGGCTGCCCGATGGTGGCCGGCTTCCTGCACTGGCAGCCCACGATGGTGGCCACGGTGTAGGTGGGCTGGGCCCGCCCCGCGAAGCCCACCTTACAGGTTCCTGTGCCCATGTCGATGACCACAGCGCTGGTCTTTGGCGGCAACCTGTCACCCACCATGGTGGGAGCATCCTGCTGTACGGTCTTATTCACCAGATTTGAGCTGGGGGTCAGGCCCCGAACCTCTGGGGAGCACTGGGGCTCCGAGAACTTGGAGTGATTTGAATTCATGGTTTCAGGTGGCAGGTGGGCTCCTGAGCAAGGCTGACTCCTTTCCTCTGGGTGTGAAGTGTGGGGAGGAAAGGTTGAGGCTGGGCCATGTGTAGGCACAGGCAGAGACAGGGGGCCCCTCTATGACATCAGCCTGCCTGCTGCCCCCTCAGAAGACATCACAACTTGAGGCTGGGGCCCCTCCTCCCTGCCTCAGAAAGCTCCCAGGGTACTTATCTATGCTGTGTTCCCCACAAAGTGCCAAATTTGGAGAAGCAGGATAGAGGGTTCTGCAGATGGGACCGCTTACGCAACTTTCTGATCCAGAACCTAGGAAGACCCAGGAATCCTTCTCTTGCTGCCTTGACTTGAAGTTTTTTATAATGAGGCATTGAGAGCTGGTCACAGGCCTCCTTAAAATATTAAATTATTAATCCTTGGAACAGTAATCAGAAAGCGGTCAGCTAGCATGACTTTCTAGTTTCCAGGAGAATATGAGGTTGGACAATTAAATTCATGAACTCATCCTAGGAAAAAGTGCTACATATCTCATTGCTGTATATCAGTACGGAAACCTTCGAAGTACTCCCCGTTGGAAGCTATTCACTGATGCCAGCACCTAGTTCACCCTTCAAAGCAATTTTGGAAATCTTTGTGGAATGGCCATCAGAGCTGTCGTCATATTACCCTTGATGTCCTGAATGCCATTAAAATGTATTCCTTTCAATATTTCCTTTATCTTTGGGTAAAGAAAGATCATGTGAGCAGGGAGGGTGTTCCAATACAGTTAATTGTTTACTGGCTAAAAATCCCTCACAGACAGTGCTGTGTGAGCTGGTGCATTGTCGTGATGCAAGAGCCATGAATTGTTGGTGAAAAGTTCAGGTCATCTGTTTCATGCAGCCTTTTCAGCACTTCCAAATAGTACACTTGGTTAGCTGTTTGTCCAATTGGTACAAATTCGTAATGAATAATCCTTCTGATATCAAAAAAGGTTAGCAATATTGTTGGAACAAAGTCGCCAACTTAGTTGTCAGACCTGGAATACAATGGAATATTACTCAGCCATAAGAAAAGGTGGAAATACTGCCATTTGCAACAAGATGAATGGATTTGAGATTATCGTGCTAAGAGAAATAAGTCAGACAGAAAAAGTAGAGACTGATATGATTTCACTCATATGTGGGATATAAAACCAAAAGCACAAACAAGACAAAAAAACAAAAAATAAAAAGCAAGCAAAAACTCATAAACTCAGACACATACAACAGTTTAGTGGTTACCATGGTGAGAGTAAAGGGGGGTGGGGGGAGATAGAAGAGGATAAAGGAGGTCAAATATATGATGATGGAAGGAGATTTGGTTTTGGGTGGTGAACACACAATGCAATCTATGTATTGTACAGTTGAAGCCTATATAATTTTATTAACCAATGTCACCCCAATAAATTTAGTAAAAATAATACATACATGGTTTGAGGAGAATATACCATGAATTTTAAAAATTAACTTTTGCATTCAAAAAAATAAATTCCAAATATAATTTAAAACTAAAATTGAAATTTAAAAACTCTAAAGGTGCCAGAAGAAAACATAAAAGACATTAGGTATAGCCTGTATACTTTACCCAAATGTTAAACTTTATACTGTTGGTTGATGAAACAAAAGAGAGAAGGTAGTCTGAAAAGTTCTTAGTTATAAAACGAGTTTTCCAGAATAGAGGAATGACTGAAGCAATAGACGGTGTGACTGCTATATACTTAATAATGGCAAAATGGCCAGATTCAATAGCAGAAGCTTTGAGGATAACCATTAATCTGAGCTAGAAGCGTGCTTGAGTCTTGCTGGCTGAGAGTTGTACACAAGGATTCTTAAAAGGTGGGAAGGATTCCTTGATAGAAGCAGAGCAGTTTCAGTTTTCTAATATTTGAACGAGTACACCCCTCATTTGATATCTGAGACACATCATTTTTGTGTGTGTTTAACTAATGGAATGCAGTGTAATCATGACATGGACACAGACAGGGTGAGGTGGGTGAATGAGACGTCGATGACACATCCCCCCCACCCCTTGAGGCCAGCAGCCCTCACTGGACCCCACACCCCTTGTGGAAAAAACACTGATGCTGCTGAGTGACAGCATCACGTGGCCCGCACTGGCCTTTGCAAGGCACCTTCATTCACGTCTGTGGGTTCAGGCCAGGAACTTCCAAGGAGCAGCCAGAAACTGCAGCACCCAAGGAAAGCACCACAGTTCTGGCCAGACTTGGGAGGTCAACCAGCCTCTCTGGAGAAGGAGAGGGAGTGGGGGTTTCTGTCCTCATGAAGTCCTGCCAAGTGCTTCAAGACATGGACAGTGAGGTTCATGTAAACGTCAATGAACAACAAAGACAAATTCCGGAAACACTCATATGTAACATATAATTGAGATATATAACATCTGAGCATTTTATTCAAATGCCTAAAAATGTGATACACCTATGAGATAAAACCTGAATGCCCATTTCTCCTGGAGCCTATTCCTTTCCTCAGACCTTTCAAAGAGTTCTTATGAGGTCTTATCAGAATAATGGAGCACTTTGGGGCAAAGATGCAGCCTCGTAATCCAGTGCTTGAAGCCAAGATGGAGAATATCTCCACGGCCACCATGACCTTGTCCTTGGTGCTGTGGTAGACGGGGAGGAAGGCGACCCAGACACTGCAGAACACCAGCATGCTGAATGTCAGGAACTTGGCTTCATTGAAGGTGTCAGGCAGGTTCCGGGCCAGGAAAGCAAAGGAGAAGCTCCCCAGGGCCAAGGAGCCCAGGTGTCCCAGGACACAGTAGAAGGCAGTGACCGAGCCCTTGTTGCACATCATGATGAGGTTTCTGGGCTTGGAATGTGTGTCTATGTTAATGAAAGGGGGAAAGTTCCCAGTCAGACTCCACAGATGATCATTTGGATCAGGGAGCCAATGGGAACGACATAGTTAGAAGCCCCTGACACCAGCAGGTGCCTTGTTCTTCCTGGTTCCATGGCTTTGAAGGCCAGAATCATGGTCACAGTTTTGGCCAGAACAGTGGAAACAGCCACAGTGAACCCAGCCCCAAATGTGATCTGTTGGAGGATGCAGGTGGCAGTGTTGGGACGGCCAGTGAAGAGTAAGGAGTAGAGGAAGCACAGGAGGAGGGAGATGAGCAGGACATAGCGAGAGCTCCGTTATTGGCCTTGACTATGGGGGTGTCTCAGTGCTTCACAAAGAGCCACAGAACCACAGCTGTGACAACAGATAAGCACAGAGCCACACAGGCCAGGGCCATCACCAAAGAAACCTCAAAGACCAGGAAGGCCATGACTTTGGGGAGGCAGCGATTTCTCTCATGGTTTGGATACGCTTGAGCTGGGCACTGGATACACTGCTCTGCCTCTGGGGAGAGAGCAAAGACTCAGCGTTTCAGATTCACAAATTGGACCTTTTTTTCCTGTTTTAAAAATGGTCACCTTTGCTGTCATTGTGCATACAGACTGCCTCTGATGTAATACTCAGACACACCAGATTAAGATTCTACATTCACATCTCAGGAAGAATGCTTTCAGCTACAGGTAAGAAAAAACACAGTAAGACTGGATCTTCAGCATATGATGACTCTAGAGTGGCTTATCCTGTGGTTAGTGATGTCACCAAGAAGGTAGGTTTTTCCAAACAATTTTCTTTACTGTCCCTCGTGTCTTCCTCATGCTAAGTTTTACTGCCATGGTGTCTGATATTTTCCTGGAGCAGTCAAGGTTAAAGATGTCCTTAATCCCACATTGAAGAAGAGATTTCACCTAGCCTTTCTGGGACAACCTTTTTGATTATTACCCTAATTTATTGATTTCTTTCCTGTGTAAAGCTTGTTACCCTGATAAAACAAGTCTTTTCTCATTCTGCCTTTTCATTTTTGTAACTATTTTTGTACCATTTTTTCCATATAAATGTTGGAAATGTTTTGATCAAATTTAAGTAATTTGGATTCTGAATGGATTTGTATTGTTGTGCCATATTTGTTTTTGGAGGAATCAATATTTTAATCGTGAAAGCATAGGGCTATTGTTTTTAATTTCCATGCATTTACACCTTAAAGTACGGCTTAACTTTTTTTGTAAAATGGAGATAGTAAACATTTTCAGTTTTGCAGGCCTCATGGTCTCTGTCACCCTATTCACCTCTGCTTTTAAAGCACAAAGGCAGTCATAGACAATATGTAAATTAATGGGCATAGCAGTGTTTCAATTATATTTCCTTAATAAATAAAGTGGTAGTTGGCTTACTCCCTTAAAGGTCTTATTTTTCACAGGTAATATTCATGCACTAGTACAAAATTTTAATTAATCATAATACTTCTTTTCCCTTTCTTTCCCCCAGATATCCATTCCCTCTTTATAGAGTCAACAGCAGCTTTTGACTTTCTTAGAATACACAAACGTATGTGTTTTATTGTGGGTCATTAGTCCTGTGTTCTGTTTCTCTTTCTGTTTTACACACTTATTTGGTAGTCCACATTCTTCAATAAGTTCATGAGAAAGAGAAGTAATTTTTTTTCATTAGCTTATTCATACCTAAAAATATCTATTGACTTCACCAAGGGATTGACACCCAGTGATTCCTACTGTTGAGATGATTGGAATTGCATAGTATTTATGGAAGAATTCAAAACATCGTAATATTTTTTTATATTTTTGAAAACAAAAGTATTATTAATTTAATCCTTCTACATTTTGTATTTTATAATAACACATTCTGTTTTGATATATAACTCCTTAAATTTACATCTTGTATAACAGCTACTTTTATGGGTTCTAGATTTTTATTAGAATGTTGTGCCTTCCTTTTTTTTTTTTACATGTTCCTCTTCTTTACTATATTATAATATTCCAGAATGCAGCATCCTGTCATTACTTATCTATGTGTATTTCATACTTTGAAGTGTCCAGGACCTGATACATAAAGTAATAAAACATTTCTAGAACACTTAACATGTACTTCCTCTGTGCTTATCTTCTGGGTATGAAAAGTATAGGTCTCAATTTTGCAAGGCCCCCACAGGTTGCCTTGATGAAGCCATGCATTACATTTCATGGCAGACTTGAGCATGGTCCAGTATGAGATCACAGAAGGAGACTGTCTCACTCAGCCCTGGATGGTAAAGACAGGTGTCTATTGCAATCAGTGCCACAGCTGGAGCTTAAGAGGATGAGTACAGCCAGACCAGAGTTAACACAAAATGGGGCAACAATGGTGATTTTAAAATGGACACATTGAAAGAATGCATGAATCAAAAACAATGGTGCACTAGGACTTTGTTGCCACTTCCCCTGGTTTCCTTTTTATTGAGAAATATTTACGGTGTAGAGTTTCATAGGGTAGTTGTGTATTTTCTACCTGTCCGATTGGAAATTTCTCTTTCTGAGCAAAAAACACAAGTAAAGCAGCAGATGGGCTTTCCTTCCTCTGGAATTTTCCTGAATCCTGGACCACAGCTCTGGCTACACACAGATTGAGGTGTCTGCAGGGGAAAATAGAATCATGGGTCATCATATTACACATTATTTGCAGCTTTGAAAAAATGTCTATATTGCATCTCCTAAGAGAAAAGTTTGACCTTTAATAGATGGTCATTACTGTCTCCCCACCAGGCCCCACTGTGTTGATATTGTCTAGACATATAATTATGAGTTGCTATGGTTATCTTTTCTCATTTTAAAGTGTTGACCACCTATTACCAGGGTATCTGATCACTTGTATTTTGTAAATCCATGACAATATTCCAAGGATTTTTTTCTCTCCTTTGATTACCCACATTATCAAAAACCTTTCCAATGCAGGTTTCTGTGTATTAATAATTCTGAGAACTTGTATGCCCCAGGATAGTCTCATCATGCCTTAATATTTGGTTGGGTAGAAGATTTTGTGTTCTAGATAAAAGAACCTAATGGTGTGATAATCGAGCACACTACTGAAAGTATCTACTTAAAAACAATGAGCCAACAGTGAAACCATAAGAATATTTTATGAATCATCCATTGTGTATAATCCAATTCTGGGAACTTGAGTTCAGGTACAGGACTACTTTTCAGAAAATTAACAAAATATTATGGATGTAAAGCTCTATTTTTATATAAGTTGCCTGCAAAATGGCCTGGGATTGCTCAACTGTGGAAATATATGAAATCTCAGTCAAATGGTTTGAACTTCTAAGTAGAATGAAGATTGATGACTAAATAGTATGCAAACAGACAAGAGAAAATGTAAATGGTGTCTACAAAGCAGTGGTTGAAATCTGTAATGTACTTGTGTTTACAATATATCTAAACCTAATAATGAGTCTGACCACATATGATTAAAGCTTAAGGCTTTCAGAATAGATGGAGGGATATATTTGGTATATACACACAAGTACACACACACACACAGTAACTTTACAACTTTAACCATTTTATTTTCTTGACTTTTGTATGACTAGATATACCCCAAATTAGAAACAATAACTTATACAAACCTAGTCTTTCTATAGGCATTAGCTCAGGATTTGTGTGGGTAAGATTTTTAGAATGAAGTCAAGATGTGAATTTAGCACTGAGTTAAATGAGTGCCCACTCAATCTCATATCAGGCCTCTGTTCAGATACATCCATAATGTCTATCTCCAATATTGAAATGACTTCAATACCTCTTGGAATCCAACAGGCCATTCTATCATCTCTTCATAGATGACCAAGCCTTGACCATGTGAGCTATTGGAGACTAACTGCTCTACTTGAACCAGGAGCTCAAGACCAGCAGGAAAATACACAGTGTTCTGCATATCAAACTGTGCCATATGGTCGGTTTGTTCATCTAAGGTTATGTGGTCCCCAGCATTGTTTATAAATTGAATTTTCTTCAGAAATGGGTGAAGCTAGAAGAGAGAGATGTAAGCTGGAAATGAGGTGTGAATTCAAATTAGAGTTGGAAGGCCCACAGGCATGGGCCAAGCAATCCTTCCCCCTCACCCTCAGGTATTGGGTTGCTTTGTTTGTTTGTTTTTTGGTAGAGGATCAGTTTTGTTTGTGTGTTCACCATCTTATGGGCTCAAGTGACATAAACTCTTCTTCTCCCCATAAAAACAATGGGGAAGTAATTTTGAATTTTGGATGAATTCAATCCAAAAAAATTCTAGGATGTGGTCCAGAAAGTGGCTTAGGCATGGGTTCTGGTGCAACTATAACCAAGTTCATGTGGGGCTTCTTGGAAGCTATAAAAAAACCCACATTGTGCCTATTCTAAAGCATAAGAAATATGCTTTAGAATAGGCACAATGTGGGTATTTTTTACTTTTTGTCTTTAGACTTGTTTTGGTGAGTTTTACGAAAATGCAAAGATCATCTATGACAAAGGAAAAATTCAGAATATCTGGATTTGAATAAAATTTTTGATTAGCCTTTGAACCTCTGGGACTCTGTTGGGAATAATTAACCTGATTAAGTCTTTAATTACTCTGAGTAGAAGCATTCTAAATAATCTAGAATCACATTTTGGGAAAAGTCACCTACTTTTCTGAGTCAACTCTACATTAGCTTGAAATTGCATATCAAATATTATTATTGTTAGTAGAGACAGAAATTAAGTGGTAAATTAACTTTTATGACATATACATATTTGCTTTTGTCTACATATTAAAGTTGATTAGATGCATTTATTTCATTTAATCAACAAATTTGATTAATGTATTTGTCCCTTGTTTTTGAAGACAAGTGTTAAATATATTCTATATATGGATTGTGGATTAGATAAACATAGGTTAAAATCCAGATAAACCCATTTATAACCTGTGGTGGGGACCACATCCTGAGTTTATATGCATCATTATTGTTCTCGCATTTAAAAATGGGACCCCAGTCTCTGATCCCACGACTATTGCAGGTTTTGTAAGAATAGTTATGTCTAAAAACAATTTGTATTCCAGTCATTTTAAGATAGCATGTAGAACCCATTTTTGCTTTTTAACAAAAAGATTTCATAGTGGGTTTGGGCATATTATATACAGCAGTATAGATTAAATAGCTGGAGTCAGATATGGCTATTATATCAATTTAATGCCAATTTTCTGGCATTTCATACATTCTAAGGAAAAGCATATGTTTGACCAATTTTGATCTCACTGTTTTGTCATCAATTGTTTGAGCTGAGATGAGTCTCTTGTAAATAGCATATGCATGGGTCCTGTTTTCTTATCCACCCAGCCACTCTACGTCTTTTGATTGGAGCATTTAATCCATTCACATTTAAAGTGATTATTGATATGTGCATATTTATTGCCATTTTGTTATTTGTATTTCTGATCTTCCTGGGTTAGCTTGTTTTCCCCTTTCTTCTGTTTAAAAAAGCCCTTTTAACATTTCCTGCAATGCTGGCTTGGTGGTAATGAATTCCTTAAGTTTATTCTTTTCTGAGAAGCTCTTTATCTCTCCTTCAATTTTAAGTGATAGCCGTGCTGGGTAGAGCAATCTTGGTTGTAGGCCTTTATTTTGCATCACTTTGAATATTTCCTGCCACTCCCTTCTGGCCTGCAGAGTTTGTGTGGAAAAGTCAGCTGTTAGTCTTAGTTCCTTTGTATGTAACCTGCTGTCTTTCTTTTGCTGCTTTTAGGATCCTGTCTTTGTCTTTAACCTTTGCCATTTTGACTATGATGTGTCTTGGTGTGGACCTGTTTGGGTTCAGCTTGTTTGGAACTCTCTGCACTTCCTGGGCTTGTATGTCGATTTCCTTCACCAGGGTAGGGAAGTTCTCAGTCATTATTTCTTCAAATACATTCTCGATCCCTTGCTTCTTCTCTTCTCCTTCTGGTATTCCTATGATGCGAATGTTATTGCGCTTGATGTTGTCCCACAGGTCTCTTAAACTATTTTGTTTTTTATTCTTTTTTCTTTTTGTTGTTCCAACTGGGTGATTTCTGCTATTTTGTCTTCTAAATCACTGATCCAATCCGCTGCTTCATCTAATCTACTGGTGATTCCTTCAAGTGTGTTCTTCATTTCAGTTATTGTGTTCTTTAGTTCTGCCTGGTTGTTTTTTATGATTTCTGTATCCTTCTTTATGTCTTCCCTAAGATCCTTAAATATTCTTATCATCAGTGTTCTAAACTCTGTCTCTGAAAGGTTGGATACCTCTGTTTCATTTAGTTCCATTTCTTGAGGTTTCTTCTGATCTTTTATTTGGGACATGTTTCTTTGTTTCTTCATTCTGGCTGTCGCTCTGTGATTGCTTCGATGTATTAGATAGATCACCAGATTCGACGTGGCCTCCTCTTTAAGTCCTTTGTTTAGAGGTTCTGTTCATCTAGTGTTCAGGGAACTTCCGAGGTTAAATATCTTATAAATTATTTGTAATTTTGGTGTGATCCTGGGAGGCAGTAGGCACAACATCTGTCTATTCTGCCATCTTACCAGAAGAAACTGTCATCAATTATTTTTGGATAATTTAAAGCATTTTATTAGAAAATATTTGTTCAGATATAATATCTAATTTAATAGTTTGAAATGTAAGCACCCAATAGTAGAATTCTCCAAATAGACATAATAATAACAAATATAGCTATAATCAGTGTGAAATAACCCTCTTTCCATTTGCCCCAATTTTTTCGATCTTGAGAACAAAACATGGGCATGATATTGTATTTCAATATACAACCCCCAGATACCATGAAGGCGTCTATGTCTCTCTTGTTTCTGGAGGATGTTTACCTGCCAGGGAAGAAGCATAAGTTCATCTGTATGTCCCGGAGATCCCATTTCTGTTTTCACCAAAATCAGCTCAGGGAGGGCATGGGCTACTGCATACACAGCATTATAGATGAAGTAGATGGAGTCGGACGTGGTTAGCATGTCAATATGACCTGGCAGAAACTCTACGGAAGAATTTGGAGGACAGTCTTCAAGTTTTCCACATAGTGACCCAGAAAGGGAGCAGTTAAACGTGAGAAGCCAGAATTTGCTGAAGAAAAAGTCTTCCGGGTATTTGGAAGGGTTAACTGTCTTGAGAAAGTTTTTAAAGTCAGGGATTTCCCTCTTCTGATGTGAAAATAAGAGGCTTCTGTGGAAAAAAGTGCAGCAGGCAATTATCCCCGTAAAAACTAATATCCCACTTTGCTGCCATGATCCACACTTTCCCTGAGGTTGAATAGTTCAATATTGCAAATCTCAGGATCATGAAGCTACCTGTATCACCATATATTATATGCACATTTGCAGGTGAAACTCTGATCCTACTCATGGAAATCAAGTTTCTTATCACTTTCATTCTCTTACTTCTGGGGAGCTTCTGTGTAAAGGCCACACAGATGTCTTTCTTTTCCATCTCTGCTTTTAAATCCCAGGAGAGCTTCTCCCCTTTCAAATAATCAGATACAAAGAGTGCCACCCAGATCCAGTGAAAATGCAGCAATAAACAGATTATTCCATGAGCCAGTGAACTGTCCTTGATGGCCATCTGATAGAGTGATGGGAACTGGACTTTATTACTTAGGACAGGGTGAAAAGGACCATACGTGACCTGAATGAGAAAAGACATAGCCTGATTCTGTGTTGTATAGGTTTGTCTCACATAGAGGATGGGAATTCTCTGCACAAGAGGGCAAGTAACCAAAATATAGGGTGAAAGAAAGACTGCTGTCAACGTCCTCCAGTTCTCTAATTCTGGGCCCATAGAAAACCATGTTTCCCATACCCATGCTTTTAGGGAGGGACATCTGACTCATTCTGACCAATGATAACTCCCAGACCAAAGCATAACAAAAATGGGTGAGGACTCCATGTGCTGTGCATCCCCTGCAGTGGTAATTGAAGAAGCCATGAATTTCAGATGGTGCATCACCAAGATTGTGGAGTCCACATCAGCTTTGCCTCATGCAACTCATGGAGCAGATCCCTCCCTTCCCAAGCAACCAAGGCTGGACTAAAACCCTGAGGCAGAAATAAATCTTTACTGTATTAATTGCTTAACTTTGGACACACTTTATTACCATTGTATAACTGAAGTTGGCTTCAATAATACAACCACCTACCCTCTCTGATCTTCTAGAAAACGATTCTTTCAGAATAGAATCCTCCTAAGCTAACATGGTCTTGTTTGGCAGTAGTGTCCCGTCCTGAGTGCTGCTTGTCTCAGATTGGGTCACTGGAAGGAATCGCTGAGATGGAAAGAGGCATGTAGAAAGTTTCTGGGAGTGCTCTCAAGAGATGTGCCTGTGTGAATGTGAGTAAGACTGGATTGGGCAGAGGGCAAGGATAAATTACAATACAGTTATAACTGAGTCTTGGTTAGTCTTTTGGGATCTCCAGAACTGCAATAGCCCTTCAGTATTATCCCAAATTGAGACACAATGTTCAGGCCTTTTTATCCTTATATCTGCCAGTTATTGGTTTCTAGATTTCTCCTAACAGAGTCACACGAAGGTCAGACAATTAAGTTCACGAACTCATCCTAGAAAAAGTGCTACATACCTCATTGCTGAATATCACTATGGTCACTTTTGAAATACTTCCCGTGGGAGACTATGCACTGATGCCAACACCTAGTCCACCCTTCAAAGCAATTTTGGAACTCTTTTTCTGGAATGGCCATCAGAGCTGTCGTCGTATTACTCTTGATGTCCTGAATGTCATCAAAATGTCTTTATTTCAATATTTCTTTTATCTTTGGGTAAAGAAAGAAGTCATTGGAGGCCAGATAAGGTGAGTAGGGAGAGTGTTCCAATACAGTTACTTGTTAACTGGCTAAAAACTCCCTCACAGACCGTGCAATGTGAGCTGGTGCATTGTCATGATGCAAGAGCCATGAATTAATTGTTGGTGAAAAGTTCAGGTCATCTAACTTTTTCATGCAGCCTTTTCAGCACTTCCAAATAGTAAACTTGGTTAACTGTGTGTCCAGTTCGTACAAATCCATAATGCGTAATCCCTCTGATGTCAAAAAGCTTAGCAACATCATTGCAACAAGTTTGCGAACTTAATGGTCAGGCCTCATATCTAAGGTTGGGGCAGTTCTTCAGAGTGTGGACATTTCCTGTGAGGCACACACCTGTGAGATATCAGCAGTCAATATTCCCATCAGCTGGGAGATGGATACCTTGGCCCTCGACAGGAATCTGGGTTGAGTCTCACAGCATCCAGTACACTGCTGCTTCCCTTTATTTTTCCTCCTTGTCATGGTTAATAATCTTACAATCCAAGGAATTCCCTGAGATGTGTTTTAAACTCTGGGGGGATATGTGCACTCAGCTTCTACATCATTTCCTTTTGATAAGATGAGGGAGAAGGGCATTGACAAAAATCCAATGATTTCTCCTTAGAATTCAAAACCCACTTACCTGCAGGCTTTGGTAGAGCTCCAGAAGTGGTCCAATCTCAGCTGCAAAGGCTGATATGGTTCCTGCAATCATGACTACAGATTTGTCTCTGACAGTAGTTAGGGACAGTATGATCTCCTCCAGAGAGCCAAAGCATGACACTCTCTATGGTCTTTTGGTCACTGGGAAGGGCATTGTAGAGATCAAAACCCAAGGACACGTTGGGGAGCAGGTGGGCATCTTTGTTGATCTCCTCTATGGCAAAGAGAAAGGCCAGTACATAGTAGTAGTTCTCCCAACCATCTAAAGAGAGGGGAAAGAATAAGGAAAAATGGTCCAGTCATGCAATTCAGAGGCAATTGCTAAGCCAAGCCAGGAAAAAAAAAAGTGTTTGGACCACGCTTTCTATTCAGCAAGTCACCTGTCCTGGCATATGGATATGGTATAATAAGGTTCCCACGGTTCTGGAAGATCTTAGAACAGTCCCCTTTCACTCTGATGAAGCAAGCTGCATCAAAACTACCACAAAAAAAAAAGGTTTGCAGTACATTGTGAATGGGGTGAGGAGGCATTTAGCTGGATGGTATAGCTGTCAACATGATAGATTTCTGTTTTCAGGTCCTACAAATAAAATATCTGTAGGGAAAACAGCAAGATGTTCCTCTCTAGAGACATGATTAAATAGTGCATATACCCATCTTAATAATCCTTTTTGTAAAGGCAGAGGTGTATCCCAAAATGTGATCTTACTTGTACTTAGAACCAGAAGCCAAGATACTTTCCTTGTTTACCCTACACTTTGGGACAGTTTAATTTATTAGCTTCTGACATATCAGTCCTTCAAACATTTGAGAGGATAATCTTCTGAAACAATATTCACCTTAGGCATTTTATTAGGTATTTTTAATTATTTTCTTTGCTAATAATCTACTCATGAAATCAGTTTTATTAAATTATATTTTACTTGAAAACAAAAATTTTTCAGGTCTTCTAATTTATTTATATAGACTTCAGCAAATTGTTCCTTGGAGTTTTCTTTAATTTTTTTTCTCAGCAGCTAACTCTCCTTTACCATTTCTAATTTTACATTTTAATAGTCTGTCTTTTTCTTAATTAGATTAGATAAAATATGAGATCTTGAATTTCTAAAATTGTTCTTATATTTTGATGTTTCTTTAAAAATTAATGTTTTGGGCCGGCCGAGTGGCGCGATGGTTAAGAACTGGCCTGGGACACCAGAGGACCCCGGTTCGGATCCCACATATGAGGGCCAGTGACACTGCCCTCTACACCTAAGATGCTGAACAACAGCTCAACCTGGAGCTGGGCTGCCGAGAGTCGCCTGCGACGGCGTAGGCTGCAGCCCCTGTGGCAGTGGGTTGTCATGGGCTACCATGTGGAGCCAGCAGCCAGCGTGAGCGGCCAGCAGCCACAGTGAGCGGCCGTCCAGAAGCCGGCGACTGATCTGCCTCCCTGAGAAGAGTGCAATGATGGTGCCAACTTTGGCCAGTGAAGCAGCGTCCTCCACAACTAGACTGAAGAACAAAAACGGACAGCAACTTGTCTGTTCCCCTTCCCCAATTCCCCAGCACTGTTCCCATCCCCCCAATTCCCCAATAAAAATCTTAAAAAAGAAAATTAATGTTTTGCTTTCTCTATTCTTTTCTTCTTAGTTTTTTTGGAATTATTCTGGCCTTGGCCTAACTTCTAAAATTTCAACCCTATTTTAAACATTTAAAAATATTTTATTTGTTAATAGATAATATTAGAACAATAAGTGCTTTAGTTGGTTTCCATTGGTTCTTATGTGTCAATATTTTGATTTTCTATGCAATGGGCAATTGTATTTCATTTCAACTCTTTAAATACTTATGAGGTATTTTAACAATTCCCAAATGTTGATGTTTTATTTTAAATTAAAACCTGATTTACTGCTGTGCTTAGGTAATTTTGGCTGTATTATTTATACTCTTGGAATTTGAAATGTTCTTCTATTGCCTAAACAAATGGCCTGATTTTGTTACTTTCCACAAATATTTGAATAGACAAATATCAACTCAAAATTGACTGTAGACTTAAACATAAAACCTTATGCAACAGATAGAAAAAGTATAGCAGAAAATCTTTGTTACTCAGGTTTATGCAAATATTCCTTTGAAATGACAGCAAAAGCACAATGTACAAAAATAGAAAATTATTACAATCTAAAAAACTTCTGTTGTTTGGAAGATACTGTTGAGAGAAAGAAAATGCAAACTACAAGCTGAGAGTAAATATTTGCAAATTATATATCTGAGAAAAGACTTGTATCTAGAATAAAACAGGGGTCAAATATATGGTGATAGAAGGAGAACTGACTCTGGGTGGTGAACACACAACATGATATATAGATGATGTGTTACAGAATTGTACACTTGAAACCTATGTAAGTTTACTAACCATTGTCACCCCAGTGAATTTTAATAAATTACATAATAATATTAACTAATGTTACTCCAATAAATTTAATTTAAAAAAATCTTTAAAAACTTTATAATAAGAAAACCACACCAATTTTTAAAATTGGCAAAATATTTGAATGGACACTTCCTCAAAGAACATATATGGATCTCAAATGAGCATGTAATTTAACATTTAGTCATAAGGGAAATGCATATTAAAACTACAATGTAAGATCAATACACACCTATTATTAGTATGGATAGAATTGAAAAGACTGACAAGCAATATGAAACTTGAGGGGGAGCTGGAATTCTCATAAATTGCTAGTTGGAAAGTGAAAGGGAACATACGCTTTGGAATACATTTTTGACAATTTCTTTAAAAGTTACGATCCAACCATTCAACTCCTGGATATTTTCCTTGAGGTAAAACTAGATGCCCATACATAAAACCTAAGTGTGTGTAGCAGCTTCATTTGTCATAATCAAAAACTGTAAATGACCAAATATTCATCAATAGGAGAACTGTAGGATAAACACACAATGGAATATTACTCAGCAATAAAAAGAAGTAAACTTTTGTTAACACACAATATGAAATTATATTAAAATAATTATATTAGATAAAGGAAGCCAAGCAAATAAGAGTACACACTGTATGACTATAGAAATTCAAAATAATCTACAGTGTCTGAAAATTGGTTGGCCTTGGCCTAAATAATGGGAGTGAGTATAGAAGAGTTTCCAAGGAACTTTTGGGATAATGCATATGTTCATGGTTTTGAGTGAGTTATGTATTCGCATGTGTATACATGTGTGAAAACAGAAAGTTGTACACTTTGAGTGCATAATGAGTGCAGTGTATATTATGCCAGCTATGCCTCAATTAAGTGGTTAAAGAGTAAACATTGTGGGATAAAAAGCTATTAGAGATATAAGAGAAATGGGAAAAAGTTTAAAATTGCATTACAAATACAAATAATTTTATATACAAAATGCATAAAAGGTAGTAAATATACCAAGTTTCCAGTCTAATTAGTAATATCTACATATTGACAAAATGTATACAAATAAATAGGTGCAAAAGAGATGCAATATTATTTTCTGGCATTTATTGTCCAAATATGATCCATGGTTGGGGTTCCTCAAAGTGACCACCCTTTGTATGGACCTCGGGAGGTATTTTTCAGCTGTCCCTCTGAGCCCAAGTCTGGAGCCTGTGATTCTGTAGGTCATGGCAAGGAGGTAGGGTTGGAAATGGGTAGAATTTAAAAGCTCCCAGAAAACTTTTATGAGGATCAAAGATTTGGATATCTTGTTTCTGGTCACATTGGAACCCTTCTAAAATTTAAAAAAATTAGAGAAAAAAATGCCTGGAAATCAAATATCTAATAACACAGCAAATACCTAGGTGTACCTGACATAAGACTTAATAGGTGACAAACAATTTACTAAAAATGCAAAACCTTTCACACATTATTCTTGCAACAATTAGGAGCTCTATCTCTATTAAAGACTGTTTAGAATAAAGAAATTTGAACATGACACAGAAATTAGGGAGCAGAAAACAATCCTTGAAAGGATATTTATAATTTGATATATTAGTAAACCAGAAATGATATACTCAAATGAATCGTGGTTTTAACCTAACATAAAATGTATGTGAATAAGAAACTAAAATTAAAGAGGGCAGTAGGAAAAATAGCAGATAAAAAGAATAAAAGTATAGTAACAGAAAAAAAATAGGTTGGAAAAGAACACAGCGTGCAGAAATTGACATGAAAATTTATAGTCATTTTGTGTAAGACAGTTGTGACATTTCAAATTAAATGTGCATTCAAGTAATGATATTTGTTCATTCACTGGTCCTTTGAGAAAAAGATACTCGATTTCTACTTCCCAAATATATTCCTAATAGTTCTTTTTTTCTTTATCTTTTTACAGATTTATTGAGTTATAATTGATATAATAAACTGCACATATTTAAAGTGTATGAATGTGTGTATGTATGTATGTCTGTGTGAATATATATGTATGGATATAAAATATCCATATATGTAAAATATCCATGAAAACATTACAACAATTAAGATAGTAAACATGTCCATTATTCCCAAAAGTTTTCTCTTGCTCCTTTGTAATTTTCCCTTCCTTCTCCTCCTCCTGCAGACAACCATTGATCTGTCACTACAGATTAGTTTGCATTTTCTAGAGTTTTATATAAATGGAATCATACAGTATGAGAAATGAAGGCCTATGTTCATGCAAAGACTTGTATATGAATGTTTATAGTAGCATTATTAGTAATAGCCAAAAAACTTGACACAAACTAAGTGTCCATCACCTGGTAAATGGAAAAACAAATTCTGTTGTATCGATACAAAGGAATACTACACAGCAATTAAAAAAATGAATAAACTGTTGATACGTGCCACAACGTATTTGAATCTTAGAATACTTATGCTTAATAAAATAAGCTAGTCCTTATAGTTCTTAAATGGCTTAAGAAAATATTTAAATATAATATAATTAAAATTCAATGTATAAAAAACAATTCAGTGGGGGCATAGCCTTTTCAACATGTGGTGCTAGGACAACTAGATATCTTCTGCAAAATAATGATATAATACCTCTACTTTATAGCATATACTA